ATATCATCAAGAATATAATTACTGCAAAAATACCCTGAAATATGGTGATATTATTTTGGGACCATATCGCCCACCCCTAGTGTACTACAGGAAAAAAAAAGTTTGAAAGGCATTCAATTCATTAATTTAAAATTAAGGCCTTTATTGGTATTACAATATCTTAAATCAGTCTTTCAAAAGTCTTAAACATGCTCAGACATGGAAAGTAGGATTTAATGAATCTTTATTTTCTTGATGTTGCATTGTAAAATCTCAAAAATAATTGCCAACGACTATTTTTCTTAAGTGATTCATTGAAGGTCACATTAACGTCACACACATCAGGATCGTGGAACCAACAACAACCACATTTTCTTTCTGGTCAGATGCTCTGAGCTGAGGATCCACAGTCTGCTAGCTAGCTGTCACTGTACAACGACATGGGGAAGTGCAAGTTCTACAAAAACTGTCTGTTGGACCAACGTTTCATGAAATTTTTGAAACCACTACGGGGCAAAGCACATGAGGTGTTTTGTGTTTTTTATGCAAAACGTTTTTCAACCTCAGCGCGATGGGAACCAAAGCAGTGGAATCTAACATGCAGACTGAGAAACACAAATTTGCCAAAAAAAAAAAGCAAAAAACTCCTGGGCATTTCCCACTTCTCTTCTAACCTGGTCTCTGCCATGCATGATTATGTTACAATAGTCATCTGGGCAAAATTGTCCCTAATCTTAAGTAAATGATGTCAGTTCGTGATTTTTTTTTTTAACCTTGATTTTGGTTATTCTAAAATTGTATTAAATTTCATTCTGAGTGGGATTAGTAAAAAGTCTTAACAAGTCTGAAATCTGACTTTCCTTAAGCTACAGGAACCTTGAGCCAGTAAAGCCTCACAAAGATTGTCATTCAAACTAAATTAATTCATTAAATAGGACTTGAATTAATATATTTTGCACTAGAAGTCTTTACAGTGTGTTTATAACTTGTGCATTTGTAGATATTCTGCAGGTGAAAAACAGATCTGAAGTGTCAAAAGACGGAGCTGAAATGATGCTTATTGAGACTTTGAGCCTAAATAACGCTACTGAACTGCATCATGATTTATTGAGTCGCGATCAGTAGATGAATTAACATTTTGAACACAGAAAAGCAGGGTGTCTACAGGTCCTTTTTAAAAAGTCAAATTCAGTTAAATTCAATTCAATAATGAGGTCTTAAAATAGTCTTAGATGTTTTTACTACAATCATTTTATCTAATTTTTATTTATCCATTTTTAAATTTCTTTTTGTGAAAATGAGTGAAGCCTTTCTATGGAAAAGTCCACATTTCTAATGTTATAAACCTAAAACTGTAATACTGTCATTATACTTTTTACTTGCACTTACCCATTGGCAAAATGTAGATTGACTTATAGTACTTACCTGCAATGCTTAAATAGGTAAAACATGGTTTGACCAAAAATCTGTCCTAAATCTGGTTAAAAAGTGTCCTAAAAACATTAAATGTAACTGTCTGATACCTGTAGACACCCTGAAAAGACTGCACTCATATATGTTTAGGAGGCTCACGTCCTCTGTCCATGTGGAAGACTCCTTAGCAAACATTCTCCTACTCTTCCTGCAGTGGATGCTCTTTTGTGCAGTCTGTTCTGTCTTCATATTTGACTACAGTAGATTCTGTGTTTTTGCTTTGATGTCAGAAGGTGAATCCATGTTGTGATTTGACAGTCTGGATCTGTTGTTGAAAACCACAGCGCCCAGCTGTTTTAGGAGGTCTAAAAGTACCAGGAGATGGACTACTGTTAAAATACTGTTTGTCATGGAACTCTGATGGGTAATAAAATATGATATCAGCCTTTAACTCATTAATAAAAATACATAGAACAAAAATGTACATTTCTACTCAGCCCTTGAGGAATAATGCAAATAATTTTAGTTGCTTCGGTTTTGAGGTATCTGTCATTGAGGTTCCTGCCTCCACCTCAGCACAATGGAGGTGAAACAACATTTCTTTTCAGAAACGGCGACCTTGTTACATTTTATTTTTTTTTGTAAATCACACATTATCAACAATTTTTCAAAGAGACCATTTCTCAGAAAGAAGGTAGATTTAACTTTAATTTGAAGGCAGTTCAAAATGACTATTAGGTATTTAAGATTTTACAGTTCAATGGAGGCAAAGCAATTAGAGGTCTTTATTCACACTATGAATGAATCAGTAGAGTGATAATACACTGAGGTCAGCAGTGTGTAGGGTTCAGGTTTTTGTTTCCAAAATGGTACGTAAATCATTTGTTTTTAAGAAAGTTTATTTTAAGTATTTTAATGGTTTAATCCGGCACACATAAGGTGACATCCTACTGAGAATTGTTTGCCATCTTCAAAAAATGTAACCACATACTGAAACAGACATTTTCTCTTCAAGGTGTCGTGTATTGAGTCCTCTTACGCACACATTCTAAGATCATTTCTGCTTTTTTCTCCTCCTTTTTAATTCATCTTTTATTTTGTTAGCCATTTGAGCGTCGAGAAATGAAAGCATTTGCACTGAAAGGACAGGTGGGTGTGAGACACCAGCGCGTGTCTGAATCGCAGTATTAAGAGCAGGGAAAAATATCAAAAGTAAGAAACCATTCAGGCGGCAGGAGGAGCAGGGATTTGAGCAGATATTAAAAGATGATTGTGCGTGGGCTTTTTTTTTTTTCTCCTGTGCTCCGGAGAAAGAATGTAAACCCAGTATCAGTCAGACTGAGGATAATAAACAGCAGAAACATCAGAACACAGCAACAACAAACACAAACAAAAAGAGGGATGGGGGGGAAAAAAGCGCGGCATATAAATAGTTCAAATATTTCAAGTGATTTCAGAATGCGATGGTGAAATACTGGATGTTTGTGTCCTCAGCCACAGCCAAGTCTTTTACTCTGTTGTTCTCACTGTAACTGTATTAAGGCCACAAACGTCCACTAATACAATATAATAATGAACATCATGATATTGATCAATATCAGCTGCATCTTGATGGAACGATTTTCAAGTGGCCTCCAACAAAATAAAACAAATAAATTACTGTAATTTGAAAATGAAGTTATACACATTAATCTCTGTACATGACGTATAGACACTGATTTGATCTTGTTTTTGACAGCTGCATCAACACTTCAAATCAATGATGGTCATCTTTCAGTGATTTGTTATGAAGTCTTTTTGGTTTTAAACTACTTTGTTGTTTTCTCTTTGTTTCACACATCACTTTCTTGATTTGTTATTTTTGTTGAGGCATTGCAAGAAAGGAGGCGAGTAAAAAAAGGTTGCAAGTTCAAAGTGATTTCCTTCCCTCTTTGATACCTTGTTACTGTATTAAATTGGACACATGGATATATGTCAGAACACGGTATGTGTTACCTTTTTTTACTTTTACAAAACATGCTACCAGCTGATTTAACAGTATGACTCAATAGTTGAAATACAAGAAGTAGACTTTTACACATATATAATTATGTATACAGCCGCCTCTGTTATTATGCAGAAATCCTCAGAAGCAATGGGTAAAGAAAGTGAAAGTTTCTCAAGAACACCTTGAGGGAATTTCTTCAAATTTGGCACAAACATCCACTTGGACTGAAGAATAAACTGACTCAATTTTGGTGGTCGTAGGTGGTCATTAGTCAAGGTCACTGTGAGCTTGTCTGTCTCATTCTTGTGAACCAGATTTCTCAAGAACACCTCAAGGGAATTCCTTCAATTTTGGCACAAACGTCCACTTGGACTGAAGAATAAACTGACTAGAGTTTGGAGGTTATAGATGGTCATTAGACAAGGTCACTGTGAGCTTGTCTGTCTCATTATTGTAACGCAGATTTCTCAAGAACACCTCAAGGGAATTTTTTCAATTTTGGCAAAAACGTCCACTTGGACTGAAGAATAAACTGACTAGATTTTGGTGGTCAAACATCATGGTCACTGTGTGCTTGTCTGTCTCATTCTTGTGAACATGACATCTCAAGAACACCTTGAGGGAATTTGTTGAGATTAAAAAGAAACGTCCACTTGGATTTAAGAATAAACAGATTGAATTTGGTGATCAGAGGTCAAAGGTCAAGGTCAGTGTGACCTCACAAAACATATTTTAACTCAAGAATTCATATGCTGATTATGACAAAATTTCACACAAATGTCTAATAGGATAAAATTACGAAGTGATGACATTTTATATCCAAAAGGTCAAAGGTCAGCTTCACTGTGACATCATAATGTCCTCCATAAAACACTTTTCTGGCCTTAACTCAACCTCATATCTCAGGAAACAGAGGGGGAGACTTCTGGTTGGATACATTTTTATTACACATGCAGTAGCACTCTTTTTAGGATACGTTTCCCTGCACAATACACAACCACAACCTCTTCACTCAGGTCCTACCTGGCCCCACAATCCATAACTGTCTTTACATTGGTCATGTGGTCACTTCCTGTAGCAGTGCAACCACTCAGTTGTCCATTGTACAGTTTTGATTTAAAAAAAAAAAAAAAGAAACAAACAAAGGATGTGTATTGTTTTAATCAGCATCATTTTCAGGAATCTGTAGTCAAACTCTAATCTACTAAAGGATATTATCGTTAGGAGGGCTGCTGCAGTTTGACTCAGGAGACCCTTTTTGACTTTGGTCCAGGCCTCTTACTTCCCTGGCAAAAATCGCTGGTGCTCCTGTCCTTCATCAGACAGATTATGCATTGTTTCTATTGATGATTCCAGCTGGCAGGAGGTCCAAATTTAAATGTTAAAGGATAAATGTTTTTGTGTTATTAAAGGTTAACTGTTTGTGGATGGGTTCTGTAATTTTTTGACGTGTTTTTTCCTACTGTGATCCATTGTTAAGTTTTCTGTTTCTTCACCTTATCTCTAAAGGTCTTTTGTAGTTTTCAGAGAGTCTTCATTGCCCATGTTGACTGAAGCTATGTTGCCCTTAAATTCACAGGTCCAAGCTTTAGTTTTAACAACTTTTCTCTTTTCTCAACAGAACCATGTGGAACCCAACTAACGACCAGACGGGACAAGTGGCCGCCAGGATGGAGACCACTCCATCTTTGGGTAGTGCGAGCATCTCCGTGTCCCAGCAGCAGGCACCCAAGAAATTTGCCCCTATGGTTGCACCCAAGCCCAAGTTCAACCCTTACAAACAGGCAGGAGATCCCGGCCTCTCTGATACTGCAGGTAACACCACAAGATTTAAAATTAAACCCTTATACGGTCACTTTAGACGCTATCTTAAACAAATACAAATTAAGAACAGTATTGCTTTTGTTCTACCAGCTGGAGTTTATCTTAAGCATGTAATTGGTGTTTCAAAGTTAGCAGTCATGCTTCCATTCAATTTCCAAGCAAAATTTAAGCAAACTTTTAAAATGCTGCAAAGAAGAATGTGAAGGAGACATCTTTTATCAACTGGTTTGGAGCAAGCAAACTACACTGCAAAAAGTCAGCTCTCAAAAACAACAACAAAAAACCCCAATGAAATCAAAGAAATATGACAAAATAAGAAAAATGATCCACCAACAGAGCAAGAAAATTTAACTTGCCAAGATTATTTAGTCTCACAGAACCCAGTGAAGTCTTAAAACTAGTTTAGCCAGACTAACACCTACATTTATCTGATACAAAATTTCCCAGAAATATTTTCTCAATATGTAGAAAAAATTGCTTAAATTTAGCAAATGCTAGTGCCATCATCTTGAGATAAAGCTATATGTTTAGGAATTGTATTTTAGAACCTGACCAGAAGTTGCTGACATGTCGTTCACAGAGGCAGAACTTAATTTGAGGTGTTTCCGTTTCACATTTATAACATCAACTCTTTCGATAAAGGCGAAAATCTCCCTTAGCGAGCATAAAACTTTTTTGCACAACGATGGAACTTTTAGCGAATTTGGCAGTTTTGTAATAGCCTGTCTGATGCAATACACATAAATGGACATAAAAATACATTCTTGAAAACGCGGGTTTCTTCTTCTTGTGTTTTTGAAGCCTGATCGGCCCGGACCCAAACTGTCCAGAATCTCTTACATTGCAAATGTAAGACTTTGCTGACATTGAATATTTTATGTTGCCCTCTCCATTTTTAGGATCAGTCCGCATTCACGGTTCCGCTTCTGCTTGAGTCACTTCTTTGTCTCACCAACGAACTCTACAGCTTTCCCTCAGGAGCAAGTGAACTTTAGTAGCAATGTCACTGTATTGATTGTGGTGAGTCGCACAGTCTACAGCAGACAAGACCCTAAAATGTCAAAACTTTAAATGTCTATTTCACTTTAACACAGCTGCTGTGAGTTTGCTTATAAAACACAATCATTAAAGACGCATTTAATATGTAAAGTCATTTGTTTAAGTGATACACAATCCGATTCACCCATTGTTTGCCAGGTAGGGCTATTTAGTAATTCCACAATTATAATATGATATATTTTGTAAAAGATGTGACTCCAGCCAACAGTATGCTGCAACTGGCAACAAACAGACCTCAGCAAAGCTTTCACCATCACCTGCAAAACAGAGAGGAGCAGTGATGTAAATAAAGAGCTGGAGAAAGGGAGCATACTGAAACACGACATGCTCACTGATGCTAGAGAGCATTTTATTGTCAGGTAACACTGATCATCCACCTATACATTTAAGTATAATTCTACTTTATGATCATGCATTTGGTGTTAGTGAGTTAGTACAAACTACTTGACCAATCAGCCTAATCATCATTAGCTGCTGATGCTTTACTTCTCTTAATCAGCTGGTAGGTGCTGCAAGTTCTCCAGAAATTGGCTTTGCTAGAAACAACATGCCTTACCGTCTGTCACAGGCCACATTTTAGTCTTTGCCGTGGCTCAAAAATTAACCATTTGAAAAGTTTGGTCTTATTTTGAACAGGAGTATGCAAAGTAACTCCATATGGTTGAATAAAGTTAGGTACAATATGAGATTAATAAATGAGTTGTTTTAGTTATCTTTGCTGCCATCTTGGCTACTCCGGCTGCCATGGCTGCAACTGGTTTTGTTCCAGCCACCGGATGGACATGGATTTAAGATTTCTGACTGTGTTGTAGACACTAGCCCCTTTTACATTGCCAGATGTTCTGCGAATATTTGGCCGTTTTGCCAGCAAGCTGCGAGCGTTTCGACACACAGAGCCGGATTGGCGAGTTGATCCAGGGTGCCCAATTTTCCGCCACATAGGGGAATCTTTTTGGTTTAAAAAGAACGAGGCGCCCGTCTGCCACAGGAGGGGCTATTGAAGACTTGTGGGAGGAGCTGTTGATGACGCCGCACGTGCGACCCACTGGCGATGGACTAACAGGAAACAGCTGATAGCAGGAATTAGCGAGCAGCTAGTAGCAAGAGGGAAACACAAACCTCAAAGACACTGTAAAGATGAGCAACTGGGGAGACAGGAAATTGCACGCCCTCCTTGCCCTCGCAAACGAAGAGGCCATTAACCGTCAGATGACGGGGACGGTGAAGGACGGGCCGACTTACGAGAGAATCGCCGAAGGTCTGACCAGCCGCGGCTTCCCTCCCACGTCACTGTTTACGTCACACGCTGAGCTACACGTTTTGTTACTTGCTCACGCCCCCCATTGCCCCGAAAAAGGCGCATTCTGTATAAACAAAAGTAGGTAGGCGTCATTTTGCTGCACTCCCCGATTTTGTTTTTATACTGCCAATGCTGAAAAAAGACTGATTGGGCTTTCCTGCAAATTTGCACAATTCCTGTTTAAAAAGGGCTAAGCTGTTTACATCACATCTAAATTTCACATACAGTGCCTGTTAGCAGGAGAACTCAGCCTGGTGGTGGCACTCTACTGAGTTTACTTTTGTAGTTGTAACATAGATCTTGATTGTAGTTTTGGCCCTTTTTTCTCAGAAATTTTGATTATTAAGGTTCTTTGAGTGAACACAAATTGACAGCCACAGCTTAATAACACGAGACAAAAACTCAAAGTATATTTGGTCCAACCGTGCACAGCTGTGTGTATTTATGTGGCAGCTCAGCCTCTGACTTATATCACAACGTATCAGGAACTGAAATACTTTGTTCGTGGCCTGTAATCGCTCTCCTCTGCTGCCTCTGTACGTGTAATAATAAGTGCACATTTTTGATGGGAGTTCTGCTTCATGCATACACTCCCATCTTTGCATTGTGACAGAGGCCTTGTTGCATGCCTAATTTCTAATAAACATACAGTGTGAGAACTGTGGTTTGCAGTCATGTGTGAGTCCAGGAAGCCTTGTGTTGTCTGCTTTTTTTAGGCCCTGTGGGACCTGCTGGTTTGGTTATGTAAAAAAAAAAAAAAAAAAAGAAGAAAAGGTTATTGTGCTGCAAGTTAATATGCAATGGACACATTTACTAATAGAGTTCAAGGACTTTAATTTCTATGTGTAACTTATTTAATTAGTCTTTGTTCCATTGCAACAGGGTTACAGTCTGGAACGATTAAGGTTTACATCTCAGGCAGAGGTGATTTAAGATAAGGTAGAAATAAGTTGAGGCTGTGCCCTGCAGAGCGTGACTCTGCGTCTGTTTCACATGCGATAGAAATGACTTCACAGTGTAACAACTGCCTTCATAAACACCTTTGATGAGTAATATCTGTTGAGAGAGACACTTATATTATCAGATATCATTTTTAGTTTCCATTTCTAAATGAAGACCCCTGGTGTTTAGAGATGTCAAGACGTAAAATGTATTTCATTTTTTTAGGTTTATGTTCATAATAATATGCACAAGACTTTCTGACCAAAACAGACACAAATATAGGATGATTTATAGACATGAAGAGAAACCATTTTCTTTTGCTGATAAGAAAAATATGACAGTAATGTCATTTGAAATCTTTTGAAGCCGCTGATAAAATATGAAACTGAAAACTGAAAATAGAAGAAACCTACTCAGTGTTGCCTTAAAGGCTTTTTACTGGCATTGATGTCTGTTTTTTTCATGGGTTAAAGATGTGATAAAATGTAACTTTTCCGCATTGAAATGTCTAAAACCGACTCGACCAGTGTTCTATATTTTTTTGAGCTGTGTATTTTACTATCCCAGACCTTTCCAACAATGTCAATCAAGGACTTTTTACAATACACTTTATAGATCTTGGTTATTATTAACTATATATTTTAACCAGATGGAGGATTTTAATCATCGAGTCTGCCTCAAAAAGAAACAGTGTGTAAGATTTCAAATTTCAACCGCCTGAAATGTCTCCTGGTTAAAATTCCTTCAGTGTTCATTGCTCAGGAGCCGAATTATCCACAGAAGTCTCCTCCTCTCCAAAACTAATAGTGTGTTTAGTGTTGTAAAAGATCTTTTCAGAAGCTCTGTTTTAAAACCAGTGAAAATAGAGCCTTGAAACAATGAAATGGCCGAGTATTACTACTGACCTCTAACAATATGTAGGTTACTCTTATTTTACCTGAGACTCCGGACTTTTCTACTGTTATTACTATTGGCAATAGTAGTATAAGTATATTTTTCTTTTTTTTTGTTATTGTAATTTTCGCCCCCAAAATGTGGCCCTTCCTAAATAGTCCACTGTTAATTTGGCTGAAGTCTTCAGTAAGCACTTCATTATATAACAAAGGTTGAACGTGACACATAGCAGATATTCAGCCGTACATCTCCCACCTCCCCATCTGGTATATGTGTTGTAATGTGACTATTATCTAAACCTCTACCCTCAACATCCCCCCCCCCCCCAAGCCCTAGATTTCCAAAACAGGGGAAACGGTTATGAAATTCGGCAAGCAGTGAGCATGCTGTCAGGTTGAAAACACTGCTGTCTGTGGGGGTTTGTGGTCTGAGCTGTGGACCTGTCTGCTACACCAGATGTTAGTTTTGTAAAAATTTGTTCTTAGACGGCTCCTGTTTGAGCTCTGCCCACCACTGAAGGAAAAACAAAACGGCACCAGTCATCCCGTCTTGTTCAGTTTGTAAATTTGGCCTTTGGTGTAAATACTTTGGCTTGGCCTACAATGAAAGGATACGTTTGGAGCTCTAGAAGATAGAATTACTGTGACAGTTTTTATTAACAGTATTCCATTAAACAATATTTGAGTGACGCTACCTTTAATTTCTGGTGTCACACCTAGAAGAGTCGAGGAAAGAAATGAACCCTGGGTCTCTTTATGTTTTTATTTACCTCTGGCAGTGTTCACAGATTTGTGTC